AGGAGTGATGAGCTCTCTCCTCAGTTTGGCTAATCTGGCCTTCAGCAAACCCAGATGATGAGCTGTGGCCTTATTCTTCTGAGTACGAGCCATCTGCAGGACACAGACCATTCATAAAATGCAGTGGCGGACAGTAACAAAGTATTTTTACTTCGTTACTGTACTTAAGTACATTTTTCAAGTATTGCAGCTGTTCTCGAGTCGACAACTCACTGATTCAAACGATCCGTTTAGTGCGAGTCTTCAGTGAACTGAATTCACAAGTAACAACCGGGAGATCTTGTGAGAGCGCGCGCGTCTAATGCAGTTAAAAGTAAATTACTAATGTCGAATTTTAGGATTAATTATTGTAACTGAAAGTCATATTTAGGTCAAAGCTGTCAGTTGTTTGTGAACTAAATCTGCTGTAAAGGGTGATCTGTTTAAGCCCGCTGAAATGCTTGAATGCAGACACATTAACATCAGAGTCTCTATGTTTTTTTTGGTAAAAAAAAAACATTAAAATAACGCAGATTAAATCAAATATTTCATGCACGTTCATCTTCCCCGCTGCTGTAACGTTAGCAGTTTTACTAAAATGCTATGCATTTAGCCCTATGTGACGTCTGTTTTTATACTGTTTGTCAGCACACATAGCCTAAGATACTATGTATCTGGATCAACTAGCCGAGTAGACAAATATAAATGTTTGTTCATAACCATACTGAAAATAAGTCAATAATGTTAGCTGATGCTAACTGTATAGCTGACGAGCTTGCTGGTGCTAAATTGAGGTCATTTTTTTTTAAATAAAGTCCAAATATTTTTATGCAACCACCTAGATAGATTACATCTGGGGGAAAATAAAGGATGTGATGTTCAGAACATGGTAACTACAGTAATTATCAAAGTGGGAAGTGATGCCCTCTGGGGGCATTTGGCCAGGGGTGTTTTTACACCACAGACAAGGTTTGAGAAGAAAAAAATCATTATGAAAATCTAATTATATTTTCCTTATTGGTTATTTTGGGGAAATCCCAGGTATTTTGAGCAGTAGGGTTATAAAAAAATCTATGCTAACATAAAATTAAATGATAAAAGTAGCCTATATAAAACTGCAGAATAAACATTCATCCATCGGTACTTTTTACTCAAGTACATAAAAAATCAAGTACTTTTGTACTTTCACTTTTCGAATTGAAAACTGAGTACTTTTACTGGAGTAATATTTTATTTTATGGATCTGTACTTTTACTCAAGTACTTGATTTGTGTACTTCGTCCACCACTGATAAAATGGCATATTTATAATGACAATATCAAGACAACAACGGCTCTCATCATTACAGAAAGTGTAACTGATCAGTTTTATGGAATCCCGAGTTCATTTCTGAAATTCCGCTGCATTCACTGTTGAATGGGTTTGGCGCTAAGTGCTAACGGCTAGTTTTCATATACTATGTTCATGTCAACCCACCTCGTTCTCGATTTCGGCTATTTTGGCGAGTAAACTCATTTTGGCGTTGGTCCTTTCAAAATCGTCACTTGAAAACAAAAAAAGTTGATGTTACTTAATCAGTTATAAAGCGTGTTGGCTCAAAAGCACACCGATGTCATGCTTTGCCATGAGTTCTCGCCACGCTCAGTTCTCGCGATGTTTGGTCTCTTCCCGTGCCTGACAAAACGGCTCCGTCTACCGGTAAGGCGTGAATACTTATTATTATTATTATTATTATTATTAAGTGAATACTTACAGTTCTTCCCTTTTCCATATTTCGGTGAGGATGCTGTAATTAATAGATCTATTTTGGAATATCAAGCTTAAATGTCAGACACTGAAAAGGTGTTCTCTTAAAAAAAAAAAACTTTGTCAACAAAGCTCTGTTGCTGCCTTCTGGTGCATTGTGAAGTAAACTACATGTGAATTCAAAATAATGAGAATTATTCATTTCTAATATTTATGTATTCGTGGCATTATAACTGGTTTTTTTTTTTACATGAAATCGTAGTGTATGTTACAATTATGCAAACGTTTTTATAATAAACTGCTGACAGTACAATACTGGACAATGGTGTAATCTGCAGAATTTACACTTCAGTTATGAGACTAGTGTTCCCCATACACTGAGTGTGTTTATATCCCTGTATGTCTTCAGAAAACCGACTGTCTTCAGAAAAGTCATTTTCATTTAATCTTGCATGTAATGTCTGATAAAGCCGTGTTTTTTCAGTGTTGCCAACTCATTTTCAGAGAAAGTTGCTAAAGGAAGGTCGGTTTGCTGCTAAAAGTTGCTAAATGACGTTGTGACGTCATTGCGTAATCACGACGCAAAATTGTCACGTCATCAAATCTCAGCAAACAAAATATTTTATACATGTTCACTTAGATTTGTCTGTAAAATAATATGCATCATATAAATATAAATAACTGTATTTGTAAATACATTGAATTATTGAAAACGTACACATTTTTGAATTATTTCAATCTAAGTTTTTTTAATAGCTAGTAAACTAGTAATTCTACACATTCTCAACTAATATTTATGGAACGATATTCCGGACAATTTTCAAATAGAATAGCAAATTGTATTTTCAATTGCGTTTTCAATATGTGGACGCATAAATTGTGACATAATCCAAATGCAATTGCAAATCCTGCATTAGCGTTTGCATTTTCGCTTTCGCGAACGCACAGTGACGGCCACATTTCAAATGAAAAAGCAAAGTCCATTTGCAGCTGTATTTCCCATGTCTTAGGAGTTACGAGCCAGTCATATTTAAATAGCAATATTAATTACCAGTCTGCTTTTTCTTACCTGCATTTTAAATTACGCATTGTGTGTTCGGGTTACAGGGTTACAATGGATGATGGATAATGTCCTGAAAGATTTTGCATTTTTCTTACAGTATACTAACTGATCAACGATCGCAGGTACAAGCTACTAACAAAGTGTATCGTAAATGAACAATTATTCAATTATCAAATTATTCAATTATTATTATTATTATTAAATTGAACAATTGCAAATAGCAGCTAACTCAATTCACGTGATGTGTGTGCTGCTAGGCATCTGTGGTTTCCTCTTTTTGTGTCATTTGGATGGAAAATGTGTGCCTTTTTATTGTCTGAGTCACTTATCAAAAGTTGCTAAAGGTTGCCAAATCAATTTTTTTAAATTGCTAAATTTGATGCTAGGTGCTTTTGGAAGAAAAAGTTGCTAGGGTAGTCTGAAAAGTTGCTAAATTTAGCAAAAGATTTGCTAAGTTGGCAACACTGGGGTTTTTTTGAGCGGAGCGCTGCTTTGTGTACAGCCCTTACCGGGGAAACCTCGATCTCTACCACTCACACAGCGCATCCTGCTGCCAGAGAAGGAGTTTGCATATATATGCCGCCCGCCTGGGAAACACTGGACTATGGTATAAATAAATTCAACTGTATAACAGTTTCACTGCAATTCATGTTATAATGTTAGAATTAAATAACAATAAAAATAATACACATGCACTCATCTCTACATAGTAAATGCAGTTATTTTTAAGCGGTTGTTGACATCCTATCTAAAACGTGATTTAGCCAAAAACAACAACAATAACGTTACCACTCTAATTTGTCTTGCAATATCCGTGCATACAAAGGTTCTGCGCGACCCTCTTGTTCAATATTCTCTGGTCTGAATCCGGCTCAGTTGATATGGCAATACTGACGCCATCCTTAACTAAACAGAGCAGATGGAACTTGCTGCTTTGGAAAGGGGCGGGGCAGTACTGAAACACCGTCTAAGCTGTTCGCCAATCACAACGCACTGGGAGAGCTAACCAATCACAACACATTCCGTTTTTCGGAAGGCGGGCCTTCATCAAACCAGGAACTAATCGAGCCATTTGTGCCAGGATGGGGAGAAAGGTATTGTAATAATGTAAATTATGTAAAAAATCATGGGTTTTTCGAACCACCAAGGATGAGAGCATGTTCTAGTACACCCCCAAAACAAAATCAAGACTTTGTAAAAGAGCATAATAGGACCCCTTTAAAGTAGCCCAATTCCGCGGGAAAACTGGGGACTTGGCAACACTGAGCAAAACGGCAACTGATCAGGGACAGTACTTGTTAGCCAATCAGAGAACTTGGAGGTGACTTTCAACCAATAGCGTGAGCTGTGGGGCGGGACTACTTGGTTAGCAGCAGAGCCGTTGAGAAAACTGGAAAGAGAGAAGTGTTGCCAGGTTGGGCTACTTTAACACTGTTGAGCGGGTTGAAGCGACCCCCAATAATGTGATATTTAATGTGATATTTAGCCCCTGGAATGCTAATCTTACCAGGGGAACCCCGCCAAAAAACGTGTATTTAACCTAGTGGAACCCCCGAAATTGGATTGGGCTAATTTTGAGTAGCAATTGGGAGGGGTTTGTTGTGAAAAAACTGGCAACCCTGAGATGGGCTTAGCTGTGTTTGCAACCTAAAATGCTGCTTTATCAGGCTTATCAATAAATTAGTAGCGTACATTTTACAGTTTTGTTCAACTTATAAGTTTCTGTCTTGAAATAATCATTTAGTCATTATAGTGATCTCAAACCCTTAACTGAATTTGTTACAGATCAGACATGACGTTAAGGTGCCCTACAGTTTCATTTTCCTAAGAAAAAGGAAAAAAATGTATTAAAATGCATTCAAAATGTATTATTATATTAATATAATGTAAAATGTTTTATACTTATCGTTTGAAGGGCACAACAATGTAAATACTACACCTTAGTATTTCCATGTAAATACAATATATCTACAAATCAGTTGAACAAAAAGAAATTTGATTGGGGAAAAAAAAAGTTGTCAATAATGTTTTATCTGTTTTCCAGAAGACTACATTATAGCCTATATCTGCTAACTGTTATATAGCATATAGATAACCTCAAAGCTAACACAACACACTACTGCATTACACATATAAAACATCAATGTTCAAACAACACACAGTTTTCTGTTAAATAGTTCATTTTATTGTTTATATTCATTTTGCATACAGTATTTAATCACTCATAGTTTCTATGTTGGTGAAACTGGATCCATTGTTTCTTTAGGTTCTGTAACCCTTTAATGACATTACACCCCGGGATGTGTTGTAGCTGGGCCAGGTTATGAAATGCATCAATATATCCAACATGAACCCATCATATATCTTTAGAATCTAAAGTGCAGATCTATCAATAACATGCTATCAATAAATGATAGAAGAATATGGTGAACCGGTCATAATCTCTCTTTGTGGTAATCAATTCTTTGCATCAGACAGACATTTGTGTTTACATTCTGAATGGCATGAGACCGATTGATTGGAAAATAAGCACGGAACTCCTTTATTTTGATTTGTGCTGTGGATTTGTTTGACCTTTAACACCAGAAAAACTGAGGCTGAATTCACAGGGCCATCCCAGAGAAATCCATTACGGTACGGTTCGGCTTACTGGGAAATCTTAAGATCGTCCAGAGGACCAACCGTTTCCTTTCTTTCTACCCATTTTGAAAGCTTTGGTTCTACATTCCACTTCCACACTCAAATACAGTTCTTTACCACACATCATTTTGAGAAAGACATATGCATTTGGAGGTGTGCTTGTCCTCGTTAATATACAAAAATAGGCATTTTCAAACATATACAAGATTGTTGCTGCTCTCAAACAGATCTACGTCTATAAATAGCATCCGGTAGACCTTGTCTTGTTTTGAAGACCGTTTAAGCGTAAAGCACACAGTGAACCGAGAGAGTTTCCTCTCAGCTACTCCATAAAGATACGTCAATCGCCGTTGGAACTAATGGAGACGTTGGTGCAAAATCAGCAGCCATCGAACATCTACATTGTAAGCACAGTCATTTCATTTGAGGTCTCATTTGCTGCCCTTGCTGTAGCCTACACAATCATTATCGTTGTACATTCTGGCCATTATCCTATGACTAAAGGTGTCTTTCTATTTTAATGAGCAACATAAATTCATATTATAGTCAGTAAGCGTTGAAGTGCATTGATAAAAAGTGCAAGTATAGATTCAGATGCATTCAATTCGAGAGGAGTAAATTGTTTGCAACATGGCCCCCGGAATAGTCACTTTTAGAGGGCTTACAACAGAAAAACACTACAGCTGATGCCGTTTCGAACCTAAAAGATATAGGCTTTCTTTTGAGAGTGTGAATCTAAGGTTTCGCTCATTGGACAGGAAGGGGAGGCATTCCTCATCTGCCCCTGTCTTGGGTTCAGACATGCTATTAGTTCCTCAATAAAGAGTTATTAATGCCTGTTGATTCAAAGAACAGGTCAGATCTCATTCACAAACGTTGAGACAGACAAATCAGTAGGAAGCACTAGTCTGGCACTATTTGGTGCCGTTTGAGGTCGTCACATTGCTTTCCTGAATTAAGTCCCCCAGAAGGACTTGCTCACCTGATAGCCCCATCTTTCCATTATTAGTTACTGAGAAAAGTCTCTCTGTGATTCTGTCAACAGAGAAACAGCATCATTTGAGGTAAAAAAAAAAAATCAACAAGATATGTGTGGAAGTTCCCATTTCAACCGCATTATCCCCGATAACCTCTGATGGTGTCATCAGAATTTGAATAATACTTTATTGAAACCATAAGGCTTTACAGCAAAATGCAACTTGGCCATATGATGGCGAAAGTCTTCTCCGGAGACGCTGGCTGGGCTGGCAGCTCTAGCTGCTCTCGGAGGAAGTGGGCGGCGCGGTGGAAGACGATCGGCGCCGGGAGACGGACTGCGAGCGCTCGTGACTGTGTTTGTCGTATGGCTGGAGTTGCACCTCCAGGAAGTCCCGGTGTTGCTGGCTGATCACCTGACTGATGAGGCCTGGAAGTGCCTGTAAGTTGCTAAGCAATGTCTCCAGTTTGGTCTCCAGCAGTGCAATCCTCTTCTCCATGTCCTCGCCCCGCTCGTTCAGGTCCGAGACCAGGTCATACATGATGTTTTGAGTCTGAGATGAAGCGAGGGAGAGGTTATAATTAACAGAGATTCATAAATGATCGTTTGAACAGCCTGGTGTTGTAAGCCTGGCTGCATGATCTTTTAACATTTGACCATAAAAGATGACAAAAACAGTCATGTCACAAAGGACATGTCAAACCCAGCTGCATGTGACAGGTACTCTTAGAAAGCACTCTGGTGATGGATTGCCCTGATGAGAAATGAAGTGTGCGTCCATATTTTTAGAACATCTCAATTCCCAGTACAGACAACATAAAAGGTCTTTCATGACATTACATCATGCGCACAAACTTTAAACTCAGACATCTAGTTACAAGCAACTCAATGTACAAACATGAAAAGACAGCAGAAACATTTATTTTAGCATTGCTATCAATTGAAAACTCACTGTCAACTGTGAGGCAATGCTTGCTCACAAGGTGAAGAGACAGGCCGATGATCAGTTTGACCTATATACTTTTTTTTTTAACCGATATTAACACTTTTGTCTATACATTTATTTATTTTTTTTAACAGATGTTCAGATTTATGTTAATCCTGGGGGGGGGGGGGTGTGGGCCCACTTATTTTT